AAACAGGGATAAGGAGGAACAGGGATACAGCGGTGGGGTGCAGGAAAACCTGGAAAACTGGGAACTGCGATCCCTGCCCGGGGCAGATCCAGCTCCGTTCTGGGATGATCCCACTGGGACACAGCTGAGGGGTGCAGGAAAACCTGGAAACGCGGGAGCTGCGATCCCTGCCCGGGGCGGGAATTCCCGGGGTGGGATTTGACCGGTGCCGTTCCCAGGCTCCGGGAGCGGGGAATTCCCGCGGGACACGGAGCCGCTCGGGCCCCTGGGCTGGGACGACGGGAATGTCCGCAGGCTCTTCGTCAGGAAGGTGAGCGACATTCCCGGCGGGATGGGAGGGGCCCGGGCAACATTCCCGGCGGATCCAAAGGGAGCCCCGGGAGGGGAATTCCCGGCGGGATGGATCCAAAGAGATCCCCAGAAGGGGCATTCCTGGCGGGATGGATCCAAAGGGAGCCCCGGGAGGGGAATTCCCGGCTGGATGGGAGGGGCCCGGACAACATTCCCGGCGGGATTGATCCCAAGGGAACCCCGGGAGGGGAATTCCCGGCGGGATGGATCCCAAGGGAGCCCCGGGAGGGTCATTCCCGGCGGGATGGATCCCAAGGGAGCCGCTCTTCCCGCAGGTTTTCGCGCTCCTGCTGCTGCAGCTCCTGCTCACCACGGGGGTCGTGGCCCTGTTCACCTTCTGGTGCGTGCGGGGGAATCCCGGGAATACGGATCCTGATCCAGGGATATCCCTGGGAACACAGATCCTGATCCAGGGACATCCCTGGGAACAGAGATCCCAATCCAGGGACATCCCTGGGAACAGAGATCCCAATCCAGGGACATCCCTGGGAACAGAGATCCCAATCCAGGGACATCCCTGGGAACACAGATCCCAATCCAGGGACATCCCTGGGAACAGAGATCCCAATCCAGGGACATCCCTGGGAACACAGATCCCAATCCAGGGACATCCCTGGGAACAGAGATCCCAATCCAGGGACATCCCTGGGAACACAGATCCCAATCCAGG